GGGTCAGGAGAGGTCTGCCACACCATGTGGTCACCCCGGGGCAGGCGGGAATCGAACTCATGCAGAAGCGGCTTTAGATTCTCAGTGCTGTGCTTTAACCCGCTGCGCCACCAGGGAGGGCCTGAGGTCCCTTCTAATTTAAAATTCTAGGAACGCTCCTTGTGCTGCGTAGCTAAAACAGTGCTTTGTGAAGGTTTACCAGTGTGACTTGATCTGAGATGGATTCTGGTGACTTGGTCCACGGGTGAGCTTGTGCCAGCTTACAGAAAGCACTAGCACATAGGCTGAGGCAGAGTATCTCACAGAGAATGGGCTGGAGGACACTGCAAGAATCCCCAGTGAGAGGTCAGCTCCTGCCTCAAACATGAGTCCATGGACTGGCAACAGTACAGGGGGAAAGGACATGAGGGTTCCAGAGCCACATTCAGAACATGGCTGGGCGGCGAGCCAGGCCTTGCTGAGGGTACTCACTTGAAGGGTGCCTCGGCCACCGCCTTTGTGAATGCACATGCCAAGTCAGCCAGCTCTTTCCAGCTCTGCACAATTCGAGCCTGGGCTTCTGTGTGTAGCTGCAGATCCACCAATGCCTAAGATCCAGAAGCAGAGGGACTGGGTGAGACCAGGGTCTCTGAGGTTCGCCTCTCTCTGTTCACTGAGTTGCACCCCAGCCCCCTGGCTCCCTTTAGGCCCTTTGCTCCCCTCTCCCAGCAGGCATTTTACTCTCAGTAGGAGATGTGACTCAGGCGACAGTTCTTACCTCTTCCATATCTACTCTAGATACCACAGACCCTGTGCTGGGCTCTGGTTGTCTCTGCTGCTTCTCCTTGGCCTGTTCTCTCTCTGCCACTCCCTGTTTCCTTCTCTTTGGCGGATGTGGAGCACTGAAGCAGGGGAGAAAGTCAAGGGCAGCAGCTCCAGGCTGAGCTGAGGCAGAAGAGAAAGACGACAGGACCAAAGAATCCCATGGGCTTTGTCGGGGCCCAGAGCTAGGAGAAGTGAGTCTACTCCTCTTGATCCAAGAGCTGCCCCCTTTAATGCTAAGTCTCCAGGACAAATGCAAACCTGAAGTACTTCTCCTGGTCCAGAATCACCAATGACAGCGCTTTCCCTGATGTCCTGGCTGTGATGTCAGCTACAAAGCTCCGAAGTGTTTCCTTCTCCCTCTCGGTGCTGCTCAGACTTCCCTGCATGCAGAAGCAGAATCTGCACTGGTGCTTTGCTCTCTAGTCAGTTGGCCTGTCCTGGGTCTCGGCACTCACCTTTCAGGCTCTGCGTACCTGCTTGAAGTTGTAGATCATGGACACAAAGACCTCTGCCAGGAGCAGCACCAGGACCGAGGGCTCTTCCACCCAGCCCTCTTCTCCATCCTGCCAAAGGACCCGGAACCCAGCAGGGGGAGGCAGGTCAGCAGGTGCTCAGCACCTGTGAGAAAAACCCAGGCTTTCTGGGTGAATGAGCCCCCCAAGCCCCCCGTCAACAGTCAGTCTGGCCTGTTTTGTGGTATCCTTTTTCTTCCGCATGCAACCATGATGGCAAGAGATAAGCCACGATCCTATCCCCCAGCCCTTGGTGTACATCACAGCTCAGAGGCAGCAGGAAAGGAAGGCCCATTTCAGCTGAAATGGGTGGAGGGGGAACTGCCAACTCCCCCATACATTTTGGAAAGGGGAATGGAAGGCAAAGCAATTCTTTCAAAGGACTGGTACAAATAAGTAACCCTGGTCTGAGGGTAGACGCTAAGTGAGATGTGTGACCCTCACAAACATACGTTTTGTGAGATAACGACAAGAATCCTAAGGGCAACTCCAGTCTATGCGAGCACCTCCTCTTCACCATAGCTGGGATGTCAACAAAGCCAAGGCTGTCTCAATTTTGCCACAGTAGTGTTATGGAGTGACTGTGGAACCCAACTTCTGCAGAGTTTTGGTTGTGGGAACTGAATGAGGCTGGCGGCCAGAGAGCACAGTAGACACAATCAGAGAAACAAAAGCCCAGGCCCAGGTTGCAGGGACGTCTGAGTGGGAGGAGGGCTGGGTTCTACTTCCTGCCCACACCGCACCAATGGGCCATGCTTCCCGACAAGGCTTTCCAAACCTCTCGGAGCTGAGCCTCAGTTTCCCCATCTGTGACATGAAGCTCAGAATTCCTTCCTTACAGGATGACTGCTACTGAAACACGGGAGGGAATGCAGAAGTGCTTGAGGCTAAACTGCTATTGGATATAAAGTCTGCCGACACCCCAAATTATAGGTGTTTAATTGCCCTGAAAATTAGGAGAGCTAACAAGAGAGGGGAAAAGCCTTCACGTTTCATCTCTAGACTCCTGCAAATGACGGGTACAGTGTTCAGATCTGCAGGCAAGAGGAGTGGCAGGCGCAAGAGGCTGTAGCGACTAGAAGTCGATGGGACCAAACAGCCTGCTCACTCCCCAAGCTCAGAGGGCGAGCACTAGGATTCTGGGCAGTCTCCCCTGCCGAGAAGGTAAGCTGCACAGCCACGTCAAAGGTCTGATGCTCTCTGGCTAGGAATGGCCTGCGGGGAGCTGGAAGGAGACTGGAGGGAGAGGGGAGTAGCAGCAGGGTGCTGCCTTCCGGGATCCCTTCCCTGGGGTCACCTGCGGCTGCCACACGCCACTGCTGGAGATGAAGCCTCTTGCCGGGTGTTCCTCTCCACACTGGCCTCTTTCCCCTCCTGCACTCGGTAATTACTTCCTCCCATCATCCTTTCAGGCCTACGCATGGCAACAGCTAAACCAGTGGTTCCCAACCAGGGATGATTTTTCCCACAAGAGATGACTGGCAATGTCTGCAGGCATTTTCAGCTGTCACGACTGGGAAGGCTGCCGTTGGTATGCAGTGGGTAGATGCCAGGAATAAACATTCTACAACCAATAGTCAGTCCCCGTAACAAAGAACTGTCTGATAAGACAGCAACAGTGCCAGAGGTGGAGAACCTGGGTTACGCCGTCACTACCCTCAAGTACTGAGCTGACCCTCAGAGTTGCCGGGACCCTGCCCACGCCTGGAAAATAGTCCCTTCGTTAAATTCTCCTCCAAATCTCCTGAGTGTGCCATCTGTTTCCCTGCTGGGGCCATGACTGACAAACATCTTTTTGACTAAAAGCATATTTCTCCTGTACACTAAGATGGGGCGGAGAGGCGAGCTCCTACCTCAGCCAGACCAGCCCCTCTTCTCCAGGTAACGCTGCGAGGCACTTCCTGCGCCTCAATCACACAGTGGCACTCCATGGACTGCAGCGCTCCGAGGAGCTGGCCCCCACCTTCCATCTGCAAAAGCACTGCAACAGATGGGGAAGAGGCTGTCAGTGGGTGGCCCAGAAAGCAGGTAACTCAGCCCCAGGTAAAGACAGGTGCTGGGAGGACCTGGATCGAGCACCACGACAATGTGCTTTAGGCACTCCTCTGGCCTCTGGGCTTTCAGCCTCGGAGCCGGTGCTGCCTTCTTCCCTTCTCGTCTCAGGGTGCTTTTCTTCCGGCTCGTTTGTTCTTGGGGCTGGTCTCCTTCTGTGATTCTCCTCTGCACCTTCTGACTAGGCTTGCTTCTCTTCTGAGGTGAGGAGGCCTGGGCATTTGTGTTGGTCACTGTCCAGCTTTGGCACCGGACAGGGCAGGTGGCTTGGTAGGCTGGAAGCTGGTGGCATGGATCAACTACTGAAGAGGGCTTGTTATTGAATGCAAGTCTCTCTGAGGTGGCTTGGAGGGGAACATCAGGACTCTTTGGAAAAGGCTGCTTTTTCCAGTCATGTGCTGCGCCTTCATTTATTTTGTTTGGAGAGTCCGAATCCTCAGGACTCAGTTGCTTGTGGGTCAAAAACTTGCAAGCAAGCCTCTTAGCCAGGGGAACAAATTCCTCCTCACCCTCACTTCCACTGCTTAGCACCCTGACTGGCTCTGTTTGTGTGACAGTTTGAGATGTGTGGGGGGCAGATGGTGGGTCTTTCAACCTTGGTGATGGAGGACAAGAGGTCTCCGAATCTGAGGTGTCTAACACTACAATCTTCTCCTTCTCAGGGTGGCTTCTCTTCGTTGAAGCTGGTTCCTTCTTAAGGAAGGTAAATATTGGCAACTCCTCAGAGTCACTATCGCTGGATTCCAGCAAGAACGGTGACTTCTTCAGATCCATCAAATTCAATTTCTAAGAGAAAGAAAGATGACACACAGACTGTAACACTGAATTCAGTCCACTGGACATGTTCTAAGGACAAGCTTTATGGGGAAAAAATTGAGATTAAAAACAAACAAATAAAAGAGAAACAGGAAAAGACAAGGTTCCAGCACACTTGACCTAGAATTTGGAATAGTTATGCTGTAGTCTAATGGGAGCCCTCAAGTCCTTTCTAGCTCAAGCTGAGCTATAAACAAAGTGGGGGGTTACTACTGCAAACTTTTTAATGGATAGTAACAAGACTCAACAACACTCCCTTTTGCTCTCTGAATTTGAAATGGAGATGCCAAAAGTCATCCTTAAGTGAGAAGCAATCTGGATACCATAAAATTCACTTTATACAGTTCAGAGGCCTCCCTGGTGGCGCAGGGGTTAAAGACAGCATTATGAAGGTTATCTCCAGCCACTGCAGCATGAGCTCAATCCCCAGCCAGAGAGCTGGCCCACAGGGTACAGCAGACGGCTCCTGTCTCCCTGGTTGCTCCCCTCAGCAGTGTATTTCAGTTAATTCACCTGTTCTGCTCCTCACTCTGTCTTTGGTGAGTCCTCTCACTTCACCCTTCTGCCCCCCCAACACTTGTATGCATAAATAAATAAATCTTTAAAAAATGCAGTTCAGGCCCTCCCTGGTGGCGCAGAGGGTTAAAGTACTGCACTAAGAAGCTAAAGCCACTTCCGCATGAGTTCGATTCCCGCCTGCCCCGGAGGTAACCACATGGCGAGGCAGACCTCTCCTGTCCCGCCCGCTGCTCCCCTCAGCAGTGTACTTCGTCGATCTGCCTGTTCTGCTTCCCGCTCTGTCTCTGGTGAAGCCTCTCACCCTCCACAAGCCTCTCATTGGCCTGTACCCCAGTTCTGTACAAATAAATAAATAAATCTTTAAAAAAAATGCAGTTCAGTGGTTTTTAGTTCGTTCACTAGGTTGTGCAACCTTCACTTCTCCCTAATTTCAGAATATCTGATAACCCTGAAAGGAAATCCCATAGCTGTCATTCACTGCCCGGTCCCTGTCCCACCAACCCTCAGCAACATGGAATCTACTTGTCTATATGGATTTGCCCTCTGGCATACCGCATTAATGGAATACACAACAGCACGCTTGCAAATTTCATTTAAGTTGTAGTGCTGGGTCGTGTGCAGGAGTCCTCCTTTGGTCACATATTTAATGACACCATTGGTGTGACCAGAGATAAGCCAGATAACATTTCTGGGCTCCGGTTTTCCAGTAAAACCAGGATAATAACAACTGTGAGAAGTAAAAGAAACTATGCGTCTTTTACAGCGCTCGGCAGAGCAGCATAGTCTCTGGCACATCACAAACGCTTAGAAATATATAAAGAACGATTAGGGAGGGCGCTCATCCTTGCCCGCTCCAGGGCCTCGGTAGGTTCACAGCGCCGCGGGCCGGCTCCGCTCCCGTCAGGGCCGCACCAGGCCGGGGCGGTGAGTCCACACGGCGCCAGACCCCGCCTCCCCGCCGCCCCACCACGGCCGGGGTACCCCAGAAGGAGGCCCCCACCTGCCAGCCGCGCGCGCCGGCAGCCCGAGCGCTCACCCGCAGCGTCTCCCGCCGCCCATTCAACCGCCACGCAGGACCCGGAAGTAGATCTCAGGAAGCGGAAGCCGAAGTCTTCTGACACCGGAAGCAGGTGTAGGGCAAATATGGCGTCGGCGGTCCTGGCGCTGAGGGCACGCACAGCTGGTAACCAGACGCGGGGGCCATTGCGGGGGAAGAGGTGGAGGCGGATGGCGCCCCCGCGGAAACCTGGGGGGTGGGGGCTGGCCCCTCCGAGACCGTACTACTGCGTGGAGGCGGTGTGGGCGGCAGCTGGAGCGGGTCACGTGACGGATCTGGCCGCCTGAGGGTGGTACTTTGAGAAGCACGTGCCTCTCCCTCACTTGAGGGCCAGGTAGTTTCCTTCCAGTTGTGAAATTGACGACAGGAAAGCTCTGCTGCTCTGGCGGGTTAGGATAGCGAAGCTGGTTAGGAGTGCGAGTTGGTCCCGAAACAGGTAGGCTGGAGGAACAGAGACCTAGGTCCTCAAAACACCGTCTCAATTTTCTGGGCAATATGCTCAGTTTTTATGGCAGTGTGCCCGGCAGGAGAAGGGTTTCGGTCTCAGCCCTCCTGTTGCAGGAAGTTGGTTAGCGACAGTCCCTCCCCTGCGGCGATGGCCTCCACGCAGTTCTGGCCTGTGTTACACGAAGGACAGGTGATGTGGCCCAGGACCCTGGTCTCTCATTTCATGCCTGCCCTCTTTCAGTTCTCAAAGGCCGGTGGTCGGTTTTCAAACTGTAGAATTGGGTGAAGTCCTTCCTTGCCAGCTCTCACCAGGCAAGGCCTCCTGTCATCCTTTGGGTCTCAACTTTGATGTTACCTCTGTAGAGACCTTTCCTGGCCACCCAACATTCACAAAGACACGTGCACATTTTTTGTACTACTTATGTGCTTATTTATGGCCAGACAGAACACCCAGAAGGTAGAAACTGTCTTTTGAGACCCCCATCACCCACCACTGTCTGGCACAAAGACAAACCACAATTTGTGGAACCAGAGGGTCAGCTTTTGCTGCAGTGTGTCAATGTCAGTAACTCATTTTTAGATGTGAGAGGCACAGAACAGTGCCTGAGCTCGCTGTTGTTGAAACCTTCCAAGACAGGAGTTCTCATAGCTCCCTAAAATAGCCTTGAGGAACCTCCCAGCACCTACCTCACTCCTTCCCAGTTGTTTTCGCCGACAGATGAATTGAAAAGGCATGAATTATCACAAAGCACAACTCTGGTCACTTTGCCCCTGGACAGGCCGACACAGTGGGCCCGTCACTTTGGCCCTTCACTCTCAGGGCCAGAGTGGACGCCACGCTGGGCAGCATCTTGCCCAACAAGAGACAGCATGGAGTGACTTCACCCAATTTTGCAGTTTGAGAAACCAACTGTTGGTCTTGTGTGAATTGAAAGAGGGCAGGAGTGAAGATGAAGAAACCAGAGAAGCTGTGATAGCCCTGAGGAGAGACTTAGCCAGCAAGTTAGCAGTGAACTTGGAGGCAAAGGATGGATGTGAGAGCTATTTTGGAGGCAGACTCCAGAGTTTGCTGGGGAGCTGGGTACATGAGGTAAGCAAGGGCAGGAATCTGCAGTGATTCCTGGTTTCTGCTTGAGCAGCTGCCTGGGTGGTGGCACCGTTTACCTGGAGGACATGATTGCCATTGGGCACTTTAGGACGAGCATGCAGAGCAGCTTGACAGGCACAGGGTGTGGGTCCCCTTGGCTGGACTTCTGCTTGCTGGAAAAGGCCGAGCCTTCTGGATGGCAGGAGCCTGTGGGCGCCACCCCCAGAGGAGCTGTTGTGTTTGTTTACAAGTGGCTGGCGTGCAGTGGATGGGTGGGTAGCTGAGAAAGTGGTGGGCAAAGCTGAAGCAGGTTTCTCTGGGTGTTCTGTTGCTGGCTTCTGTGGTCTGGCCCCTCCATGGGCCGTGGAGCCTTGAGGGCGTGGTGGGGAGTGAGGCTGAAACAGCCAGTGTGGTGTCCTGTGTCTCTGATGTGTGTTTCTTGACAGGGCTGAATGTGTCGGGATCTAGGGTAGATGGTGTTTACATTTTCCCATCAGTATTTTGCTCCCCTCACCCCCTCCTCCCAGGGCCACTCATACACTTCATGCATGCTTACACCATAAACACTGCAAGCAATGACTTGTCCACTGTCCTGGGGAAAGGCCAGTGGCTTCCAGACATTCCCTGAAAGCCCACACAGTCAATGCATAACTGCACATGTTTTTCTCCCCTCGCCTGTCCCTCTCAGTGTGCCAGATGGCCTTGTGATGGGAAGCATCTCTGTCTGAACATTTCTGTTGTCTCTGCAATTGCAGCCCTGCTGAACCCCCCTCAGGTGGCAGCTCTCGCTGTCAGATGCGCATCCAAGAAGACAGGAGGCAGCTCCAAAAACCTTGGTGGAAAGTCACGAGGCAAACGCTACGGCATCAAGAAAATGGAGGGTGAGGCTGTGCCTTGCTTTTCGGTTCCCGGCTGCGCCCTGCTCTGTTGGCCTCTGCGTCCCTTTGAAACGCAGGAGAATCACGCTGGTGGCTGATCCTGTGCTCTCTGCTTTGCTCCCCTGCGCATTTGGCTCTGGCTGAAAGGGACCGAGGCTGGTGGCGGGGAAGGGGCCTGGAGAAGATCACGTAGACGTCAGACTTCTCTCCATGGGACTGGGGAGGGGGCAGGCCGCTCGGTAGACCCTCTGGGGGGTGGTTTTTTCAGGGGCAGCTCAGAGGCTGGGTGGGAACACGCAGCAGCTGGCTATACTGCGCCTCACTGGGACTCAGGGCCATATCCTGTGGACTCTCTTCCAGGTCACTATGTTCATGCTGGCAACATTCTGGCAACTCAGCGCCACTTCCGCTGGCACCCAGGCGCCCATGTGAGTTGCTCGGGGGCTCCCCCAGTTTTCCTTTTCTAGGACCTCTTCTCCACTTACCTAAGCACAGTAATAACAGTAACGACTACCTTATTGGGTGTTTGCCAAATGCCAGGCATTGTGCTGGTTCCTGGGCTCCATTATCCCATTTCATCCTGCACCCATCCAGTGAGGTGGCAGGCACCATCTCTGTTTTACAGATGAGGTGCCAGAAACGGAGAGTAGAGAGTCCAAGTGCCAGAGCTGGGAATGGAACCAGTCCAGTTTTGCCCGGAAGAGCATTTGCCTAGTTCTTTGGTTCGTTATAACCCTCAGTTCTGGAAGACGATGACTAGTGAGGAGGAGGATCACTAGTGACTCAAGATATTTTCTCAATCTTGGGAAACTAATTTCAGTTTATTCGGTTTTCCTTGTTTCTAAGAATTCCTTTTTGCTCAAAGAATGCTTGAGTTTTTATAAAATAGAATCCCCCCAAAATTAGGTCCATACCAGGTAGGAATTTCAGTTTCAGCTAGTTGGAATTATTTTCTGGAGTAGGAAAGTTCTCTGTTAACATTGATCTATACTATGCTCACATGCTGTGCAAGCATTTGTTTTGTATTCAATTCCCCCTCTTCTCTGGTTTGGGACATTTTAGTAGGTACAGAAAGACTGATAGTAACCAGGACTCTTTCAAAATGCGCATCGTATGTGAATTGATTGCACATGTAAAATTTTTTTTATTAATATAATAGTTAATTTTTACATCATTTTGTGCATTTTTTCATCTCAGTTGTAATCCCTGTGGAGAGCCCACTTTTTAATCAGAAAAATGTTGAATAATGCTCGACTGCCTGGGTGAAAATTAATACACACGCAGTCTCAAGTTCTAAATGAGAATTACTGTCATACAATTAAAAGATTGTCTATATAATACACAGCTAATGTAATCTCATTGCTCATATGTCTTGTCTGAAAAACAGAGGTTTAGAAGTGGTACCTGCCTCACACGGTGGGAATTAAGTGAGTTACTGGATATACAGGGCACAACATACTCAGTCAGTACTAGCTGGTGTTGTTATATCTTACTGCACATCATCCATACAGCTTGGCATGTACTTTCCATGGGGCCTAAACTTCACAGATAACTATGTAGGTGAAAGTGAATATTAAACTAGAGCTTAATCTGCAAATTTCAGCCTTTTTTAAGTTTAAGTGAAACAAGTCCCCAGGGCAGGGATTAGGGCATTTTGCTAGTCCGGCTTGGGGGTTTGTATGGCTTCTGGCCAGCGGCACAGACACAGTCCAGGTGTCAGTGCCGAGGGGCTGAGCCTCTACCAGGACTGGCTGTTAGAGTTTTCCCCCCACCTTCTATTGCAGCCAGCCTGGAAGTAAAGCCAAGAAAGTGCCAGTTAGTAGGGAGGGGAACCCCGGTTGGAGTTTTTTGAACCCTCTCCTTCAGCTGCAGGACCTGGATCTTCATGAGAACTTCCTCCAGCTGATCAGGTGTGTGTTGCAGGTCGGGCTGGGGAAGAGGAAGTGCCTGTACGCCTTGGAGGAGGGGGTAGTCCGCTACACGAAGGAGGTCTACGTGCCCAGTCCCAGCAACGTGGAGGCTGTGGACCTGGTTACCAGACTGCCGAAGGGCGCTGTGCTCTACAAGACCTTTGTCCACGTGGTTCCTGCCAAGCCTGAGGGCATCTTCAAGCTGGTGGCTATGCTCTGAGCTCTTGGCTGAGGCTATTGGACAGATTGGAATCCAGTTGACAAGAGGGTGGCACTAGAAGTGAAGAGTTGGGTGCCAACTTGTCCCACGGAAGTCTGATGGGAAGATGGAAGTGATCGACTGTGAACCCTTTGGGAGACCTGCCTTGGGGCCAAAAATAAAGTTAATAGGGCTCATCAATCTGTGGTACTGGGGCGACAAACCTAGAGGAAGCTGCTACCTGATTTGTTGGCCCTGGCCCTTGTTCCCTAGTGCACACCCAGGGGAACCTCACAGCAGGCAGGACTGTCAGTGAGACAATAAACAGAGGGAACTTTGTGTTGAGGGGGAACTGGGGAAGGAGGGGAGGAAGAGGAGACGGTCGGGTCAGGGTGGGGGCATTGCTCCCCTTGAATCCCGCAGAGGCAAGGCTCTGGGAAAGTGGGGGGTTCCTTGAGGTTGGGAGAGGAAGCAGTATGGTCATGCCCCTTTCCCGGAGGCATAGTCATGGAGCTGGGCAAGAGTCCCAGAAATGGCTACATGCAGCCCCCTCCCTGCCTGTCCCTATAGGCCCATCTATCCTGGAATGAGGCAGGTCCCTCCAGCGAGAAGGCAGAATACAGACAAGTGGTCATCTCCGCCACGGGAGACCACATGCATATTCTTCTCTGGTTTATCTCAAATCAGCAGCAGCAAAGAATCTCACTTTAGGAATACTCATTTGAGGCCGAAAGTGGTTGTCATGACCCGAGGCTTGGCTTCGAGTAGAAGAGTGAGGGAGAAAAAATCTCAGCTGGCTCCGACAACTTATTCCTGGCAGCTGGGGTAGGCAGTGTTGGCTGCAGCCCCAGGGAGGGGCTGGTAGCGCCTAATGCTTCCTCCAGGGACGCAGGAGGGCAGGCGCTCAGGGCCGGCGGGCAGAGAGGCTCCCGCTTCAGGAGTTCTGCCTTGAACTCACGTTGCAACCTCCTTGATAGAAGTACCTGGGCTTACTGAGGTTCAGCTTGGCGCGTTTCTCACACGGTCTGTACCAAGCTGGCTGGTGGGGCGTGTCCACAGGCTCAGTGCTGTCGCTGTCTGTCCCCTGCAGAATCAGGAAGGGACAGGCAGGTGGAGGCTGCTCCCTGCTACACGGAGACATTTCCTGGCCAGGACGGGTGGGTGGGCAGAGCCCAGGTGGTCCTGGCAGTGGCCTCAGAGCCGCCTCAGCTTGGTGATGGCTGGAGGAGTAGGGAAGGAGAGCCATTAGCAATCCCTGGGGCCCAGTCAACCATAAAATACACAAACCCTGTTTTGGGGGTGCTCCTCTCCCCACTGATGGTCCTTCTTGGAAAATACCAGAGCTCTATGCTGTAGGCACCCCGGGAAACCCTGGCCAGAGCAGACTGAGCCACAGGCTTGTGCTGGACTGGTGTTTGCCTCCGCCCAGGAGGTGGAGCTCTCCATCAGGAATGCCCTTTTCCTGGCTGCTGGGCTCTAAGTGAACTCAATATATAAAAGGATGTGAGAAAAGCCCAGTTCCCCAGGGCACCCAAGACTGGGAGAGCTGAGCACGTACCTTGGCAGGCGTGGCCAAGCTCTATAGCTGGCTATGCTGCTGTGCGCTTGTGGCCAGGCAGGTGAGTGCATGGACGGGGCAGCCACATGGGGGACGGCAGCTGACGCACAGCACCCAGCACGCCCGGCCCACCTCCCCTCCTCAGACTGGGACTTCCCTCCAGAGGTGGGTGCCACTGGGCCGGTCTAGGGCCAGCTGGGCATGAGGGCAGAGGAAGGGGCAGGCAGCCCCCTTTCTGCTGCTGCACCACCTCCGTGCGGCACCGACACAAGGCGAGGGAGAGCAGCGTGGCTTTACCCCGGCTCCCTTCTGCCAGGGATGTGGGTGAGGGGCGTTGACAGAGGTCAGGGGCAGGACAGACACCTTAGAACAGCAGGCAGGGAAGACCCACTGCCAGTTGTTTGTTCTGGTCACTACCGTGCTGCCACCTAGTGTCCCGCAGAGGGCGCCCCGTCCCCAGAGGCCCCTCAGCCTGGGAAGGGC